TAAAAGAGTGATGTAATCATTTTATTTTAGTCAATATTTATAGTCTGCTGGAAATTACATCCTTTCCAACTTTGTTCTTTAAACTTATGATGCAAAATTTTACCTGTCAAATTAAAAATGTGCAAGGGGTCATATATTTAAAAAAATTCTTTTAGGGTTAAATGAGAAAAAAAATTGACGTAGGATACACAGGCACTCTAGTTCTATAATATGGCTGCTGTCTCTGCCTCTCGCTGAGGATTGCTTAGGCCTTGAGACCCTGTCTTCTAGGAAGGGTTTTCTTTTTTCTTTTTTTTTTTTTGTGGTATGCGGGCCTCTCACTGTTGTGGCCTCTCGCGTTGCGGAGCACAGGCTCCGGACGTGCAGGCCCAGCGGCCATGGCTCCCGGGCCCCGCCGCTCCGCGGCATGTGGGATCTTCCCAGACCGGGGCACGAACCCGTGTCCCCTGCATCGGCAGGCAGACTCTCCACCACTGCACCACCAGGGAAGCCCCAGGGTTTTCTTGTTATGCTCCTGAAGTCTGTTGCCTTATGCACCTACTGAGAACCCGTCCCTCTGCCATGTGCTTCTCAGAACACTGTCTTCCCATACCTTTTGACTATTTTAGTCTTGAATAACATTTTTCTGCTATATCTTTTTTTTTTTTTTGTTCCAGTAATGAATTATGTCTCCCTGTTAATCTCCCACTCCCTTCAGGGAGACTCAGCTGAGTTTCTCAGCTTTTGCCCTGCTTCTCACGTGGGTCTCTTTTCTTATCTAACTCACAGAATGAGCACTATTTACTCATCTGAGCAGCATTCGCACTTTGACTCCTCTTTCCTTTCTGACACATTCTTTTGTTTTCCAAAAGTAATCTTTTAGATTTTAGGATTTCCCTTATTGGGAGAAATAAAATCAGTTAAGGTCTGGATCTGCCCTAAACCTTTAGTTCTAAGTGATCTTATCCATTTTTGCCTCTCTAAATTGGATATTCCCACCCAGGAGATATTTTCCCATCAGACCAGTAGCTAATCCAAGACTGGATTCAGTTATTATTTTGTCTGTCTCCTCTTTATTATGTCTAGTCTTTCTGAGCCTTTCTCCAAGTCCTAATTCATGCATTTCTCCAAAATGTTCTCTTGGGACACAGGCGATACTATATCCTTATGTTAAAACTTTTTCACTTGAAATTTATCTAGTAATCCTTTGAATATTTCATGCTGATCTCTGTAATTTTGTCCTGTATCTAGAACTCTATTAACACAACAGACAACTCTAACAACAATTTTTAATATTATATCTCACAATGTTAAGGGTAGAGAATTTCAGTAGGGCTTGGTTGAGTAATTCTTCTGCTCACTGTGGCATCAGCAGAGGTCACTTGGAGGTATTCAGCTGGCAGATGGTTTAGAGAGTCTTAGAAAGCTTCATCACATGTACGGTGCTTTGGAGGGGATGGCTGGAAAGCTGGTCTCAGCTGAGAGTAATTGATCAGGGGTCCTACACATGGCACACGGCATCTCCAGCATGACAGTCTCAGAGTTATCAAACTTCTTATCTGGTAGCTTAGGACTCTGAAAAGAATGTTCCAAGAAGCCTGAGTGGCAGCTTCAAGGTTTCTTATAACCTAGCCTTGGAAGTCCTGAAACGTTACTTCTACCGAGTGCTGGCTTCTGTTCATCAAGGAAGTCACTGAGGCCACCCAGATTCAAAAGGGGGGGAATTAGAACCCACCTCTCTATGGGAGGAGCAGCGAAGAATCTGTGGCCATCTTTAATCAACCCATGTATATGTAATCCCTTTGCATGCTGGGCTGCCCTAACTATATCTAACTATGGAGTCTCTGTCTGAAGCTTTAGAAAGAGGCTTCACAGTATTTTCTTGCCTCCTTCTGAGGAACTTATTCCAGGCTGATGTTTGAGAGTTTACCCCTGCTGATAAATTTCACTGGGCTGCAGTCACTCTTTCTGATGGAGAAACAAAAATATATCCCCCTTTTCAAATTCTTTATTTAGAGTAGTTAGATTGTGTGCATCTCCTTAACCCCCCCCCCCCCTTTTTTTTTTTTAATCCCTTTCTCCTCTTCTTCAAGATCCTATATTTTTTTGTTTCGTATCTGCCTGGTCTGTCATAAAAAAATTCTGTCATTCAGTTTAATCGGTCTATCTTCCTTCATTTTGTTTCCATTCTTTCACCACTCTTCTCATGATAGAGGGTGAAGCATATTTTTGAAAATTCACCAATTCCTCCTCGATTACCTGAAAAAACTTGATTTTAGAGACTGTGTTCATTTGAAACTAATACCAAGATAGGATTTGATAAGAAACATCTATGAAGGATAGAGGGAAGGAAGCAGGAGAAGGCAGTGGAAAACCATGTTGCAGGGCTGATAATTGAGAGAGAAAAGGGGGAGGAAGACGTGAGTAGGAAGAGATGGAATTTTCAAGCCAAAGTCACCTGTGAGAGGAGGCCCCTGCCTGCAGTCATGGACTCACAGCAGTGCCCCTGCTGTGCTAAGTCACAGCTGGGAGTAGCTCAGGGGAAGTATGGCCTCGGTAGGAACATGGTGGTGGATCTAGGCGGGGCTTTCTAGGTCAGCTCTGCCCCTGCAGCAGAAGGTCTGGCTGCCACAGGGCAGAACATAGATGCTAATGGAAGCCCGGGTGGAGAACTGTGCTCCAGTTTGGTGAGAGCTGCTCACCAAATGAGGCTGGATTTCCTCCTTGTTTTGAGGCTTCCATCTCCACTAGCCCCTGGAAGGTCCTGCCGGCACTGAGGGACATGGATTCACTGACTTTGGTAAATAGGGAGTCAGATTCACAGGGGTTAAGGTCTAACTCCACCATGTACCATATGTGTAAACTTGGGCAGATTTTTTGTGTCTGTTTTCTCAACTCGGAAGGAAATCTTGAACAAACTTTTGAGAGCCCTTCTAGCTCTGACGCCTTCCAGCTCTGACGCATTGTGATACTTAGAGCCTTGATGATTTCCGTGGAGCCTTTGATCTCTTCTCTTTCCAAATTTATCCTTGTGAAAAGGATGTTTACAACTTTTCATTGTCAGAGAGCTGACTCACTGAGACAAATCTGAAGTGTAATTATGGTATATGTGAGTATAGACGTTAACAAGAAATTATCCTCAGACATAAATGGTCTAATAGCAGAAAATGATTGCAAAAGACAGTGGGTTTGAATAGTTTAACATAATGCTAATTTGCTTCAAGTAAAAACACTGATCAGGAACATTAGGTAATTATCATTTAAGTACAGGACCCCAGGATATGAAATCTGCATTTTCATGTTAGCACTGATATCACTTATATAACTGCTTACAGCAAAGATAGGGAATGATTCTAAGTACATTCATTATACAGATTTGCAGTGACAAATCTTGGTTATTAATTTTACCTTTTGTTAAATATCTTACAAGCGGCATCTATCCAATCAGGAAATAATTTTTATATTTAATGTAGTTTGATTAATTACACACAATCTTAGACTGCTGTATGTAGAAGATTGGCATATTGCTATGTGTGAAGAATTCTGAGTTTGAATAAAGAAGAAAAATGGAAGAGCTATTTACCTGGAGACTCAAACCCCTTTAATTTAAATCATTTTACAAATGGGGAAACTGAGGCCTAGGGGGTTTATCTCAATTGCCCAAGATCTCAAGATAAAAACTGTTAAGAATTTTATTTTGCTTCCATGTGCCAGATACCTTTAGAAGTTCTTTATATATATCAGCAACTTTAAAAGATGGGTACAACAACCATAAGAGATAGACACTGTTATTTCTGCTATCTTACAGATGAGGAAACTAAGGTGCAGAAGGGCTGAGTTACTTGCTCTAGGGAGCTTAGAAGTGGCAGAGCCAGAATTTGAACCCAGGCAGTTTAGCTCTGGAGTCCATACTTTTAACCATATACATACTTGCTCATCAATATAGTGTGTTAAAAAAGGCAGGCTGGCACTGGAACTGAGATCTCCTAGTTTCCTTGTGTCTTTTCCATAACACCAGTATGAATTTGAAACAAATCCATTTTCATATTTTAAAATAAACACGGCAACTGAAATTGCACAAGTGGCTTCCCAGAGGTCCTACTTTCTTGCATGAGGCCCCCAAAGGCAAGTCTCCCCAGTCTCCATCTCCACAACCTCCCAGGAGAAACTCAAGCAATGAACATTAATTAGCAGGTAGGAGTCATCTATAATTGATGAATCACAACCTTCAAAACAAATGGCTGATTATGAAGTGGTTTCAAGTTCCGTGAAAAGCTTTCTCCCAGAAATAAGCTAAACTCTTCTAGGAATAATCTTCATGTCCCATTTGTTGATGAATTTTCCATTTGCTCTTCTTCCTGAGCCTCCCAGGGTGCTGTGCTTGGTCATTCCCGGCCCTCTTACCACCAGCCTTAGATCCTTCAGCTGTAATTAGTGGCATTCCTCACTGAGCTACCCAGTCTTTGACAGGATTCCAGGTTGCTGTGTTGGCCTGGCTGTCCACCTAAGGCAAATGTCCTCTGAGCAGGAAGATACTACAGAGTAGAATGTTTCTCTTGACTCATCTCCTGAACCCATCACCCAGCGGGACTTTGCCATTAGCTAATGGCCATCCAAAATGAGCAAATTCTTTGGTCATATCTGTAGCAACTCATTGGTTTTCAACTTGATGGTTTGTTTATTTCACCGATGGTTTCTGTTCTCATCAGGAGCCAGTAGAATAGCAAAAAGGTGCTTGCTGAGCCCATCAGTGATGAGAGTTGATTTTCTGATTGACTAGAGTGGGGCGCATTGGTTGTCCATGCCCCAGGGGTATGAAATTATCCCATATTTGTGAAATGTAGCTCAGACCTCATCCTGACTCATGTCTTTCCCTAAGTTAGAACCTCATCACCCCCATCATGGGGTAGTGGAGATGGGGCAGGATTACAGATTTCAGGACACTCTTGGGTATTCCATTAAGGAAGGTGAGCAGAAGGTAGATGAGTGAGTAACCATCAGACTTTGCTCTCTTTTCTTAGGCACTGGTGAGAAAAATCGATGCCTCGGACAATATCTACACCACAGAATCCACCACAGGGAACCTGTTCAGCCTGACCCAAGAGGGGGCTCCCTTGTGCCGCATCATAGCGAAGGTAAGCTTCATGGATGGGGGCCAAGGTGATGGGCCTGGGGAGAGTGTGAGGAAGCTAGTTTGGTGGGGACAGCTGGCTTAGGAAGCCTGTCCTGGCTCTAGCATTTGCTTGTTATGTAACCTTGGAAGAGTTACCTCCCCTCTCTGGGCCTTGGTGTCTCCATCTTTAATAGTGGCTAACTCCTCTGATTTCATTTCCCACTTGAGACAAGAAGATGGTGCCCCTGGAGCCTCTATCATCTTTCTTCACGAGGTGTCTGTTATAAATATCAACCCTTCTCCCTCATCTTCACATATCCCACCAAACCCAAACCCAACATACCTTCCAACTTAGGTTCTTGGCTGGATCTTAAAAATGCCTGCTGTCACTGCACTACGACATGAAGGAAAGACAAAATTGAGGGCGGTGGTTTTCATTAATTACATGGGAGTTGTAATTCATTAACTTCATGGTCAATTTGCCCCTGCACTCATTCTAAGTGTTGGATCCAAACACTTAGAACAAATATAGGCAATTGGTAGCTCCCTAGGGGGCTTGCTAAGGCCTTCTGTTTTATTTTTGCCTCTTTTTTTTAAAAAAACTTGAGAAATGACATTACCATTGGGGATAGAATAAGGATCTAACTGGAATCAAAGTTATATCCTTCAATAGACTTAAGATGTCAGTCACAAGAAGATGCTCCAGCTCTGTGGTTCCCAGTCCTAACGCTGCAGCACAATCCCTCAGGGAGTTTTTGGAAAACAAAACATAAATGGTTTGTCGCCCTCCAAGATTTACCAAGGTCCTGGGGTAAGACCCGGGAATTCACATTTTAATAAGCTCTACAGGGGATTCTGAGGCATGGCCACTCTCAGAATCACTGATCTAAGCCTTTAAGGAGATCTGGAACAGGAGGGTAAATGCTTGTCAACTCTGGTCAAGGGAGAAGTAAATTGTGTGCAACAGCAATAGCTAACGTTTAAGGGCGCTCTCCACTGTGCTTAATGCCTTGCAAACGTTATTTCTTTTAAATCATAATATCATCCAAACAAGTAGTTATCATGTTTTTCCCATCTATAGTTGAGGAAGTGGTTTGAGAGGCTGACTCAAGGTCACACAACTGATAAAGAGTGGAGTCAGAATTAGAACCCAAGTCTCTTTAATTCAGAGTTCATGATCCTAAAGCCCACAGTGGTGACTTCTGGTTCAATCCTTGGCCCTTCAGCTTCTTGGGCCAAAGTGTGACTCAAAAGTTCTCAACCCTGTAGGCATATTAGCATCACTAGGGAGCTTTAAAAATCTCCACTAGTGGGCTTCCCTGGTGATGCAGTGGTTGAGAGTCCACCTGCTGATGCAGGGGACACGGGTTCGTGCCCTGGTCCGGGAAGATCCCACATGCCGCGGAGCGGCTGGGCCCGTGAGCCATGGCCACTGAGCCTGTGTGTCCAGAGCCTGTGCTCCGCAACGGGAGAGGCCACAACAGTGAGAGGCCTGCGTACCGTAAAAAAAAAAAAAAAAAACTCCACTAGTAAGTGGCCAAGGTGAATTTGAACCTGGCTGTTTGACAGCAAAGGCTATGCTCTTGTTTGCTGTCCTGAACTGCCTCTCAGCAGCCCGGCTCCCTCCTCTTCCTCCTGTCTGCCTTCTCCTCATCCCCATCCTCCCTTGCCTTCCTCCCCTCTCCACAACCTTTATTATCTACTGCATCCTTTCTATATGTCAAACACTGCACTAAGCTTTCCCTTCATCATCTCATCTGATCCTCCCGATAATCTAATGATGTGTTATAATTATAATTCCCATTTTTAAGAATAGGGAACAGAGGCTCAGAGAGAAGTTCATGCACATTAAATGCAGATGGGATTTTAACTAGATCTGCTGACTCCAGAATTTTAATATCAACCTTCTTCTGTCTCCAGTCCTTGGGGGAGAGTAGACGGAGGGTTGATGCAGAGAGATGATGACTCCCATCTTCCCAGTCTGGAAGATGGAGAGACTAGGTCCTCCAGCAAAATCGATGTTTGGGTTTCCAGTCCTGACAGTGACAAAGGGACTGGGAGTTCCTGGTATGCCCTGCACAGCATCCTCACCTCCGATGCTCAGGAAATATGCCCAATATGGTAACAGATGTGGGGCAGCTTCCCCCAGTGGCCTTCCTCATTCACCTCCTTGGAGCCCGGTGTGGTCTGTCCTTGGGTCCTTCATCCATCTGAGCTACCCCCATGAGATGATTTGGGCAACCTGTCTGAGGTCTATCCTCTCATCCCCTTGGGTTCCTCTGATGGCCAAGAAATAAACCCAGTCCTCCCTATGACAGTGGTGGCAAATAATCCCATTCCTTCCTGAGTGCAGAGCACTGAAAACTCCCCTGTACGTTGTTGAAATTACCCCCTCCTCACCACTCCAGCTCCTCTATTATCCTCCTCCCACCACTAGCCTACACACCCCTCAAGTGGCCTCCTCCAGCTTTATGACAGCTTACCCTGAGCCTGTCTGAATAATGCATACCATTATACAGCTGGGCTCCGAGCCCAGAGCTTTCTATAAAATTAAACAACCTCCAGCCAACAGTGCGAATCCACAAGCTCAGGCAGCTCCTGGTCCCACTCTAAGCTGAGTGCTTCTTTTCGGTCCTCAATGGGGGCTTCACATTCCATCTCACTTTCTATCTCCTCTCCCTCCCACATATTCCAGCCCATGGGACACCTTTCATGAGGGTATGAGACACCCTTCTAACCAGGATGCCTTCTGTGACCTGATCCCAACCTGGCTGTCCAGGTCCACCGTCACTGGGTGCTCGGCCCTTTCACAACATTAACTCACTGCTCCTTCAACAGCTGAGTCATGTAGCTGTCACGACCCCATTGTTAACCAAAGATTGCCAGCAGCAGAGCCAGGATTTGAACCAGAATCCCCTCAGTCTGGGTTCAGGATTCCCCCTTCTTCTCCTAGTAGCTAAAAATGCTAAGAAGACCATGTTTCACAGGCTTGGGAAAGGATGTAATGAGAATGCAGAGGCTTAAATATAGTTATGCTAGACTTGGCGTCTCCTGAGCCAAAGGAAGGCTGCCACACTGATCCTGGCTCTCTGCCTCCCATTCTTTGGCGTCATTTCTTCATTGTCTGCTCCAGACGTAAATATCTATCTATCTATCATTGTACATATATAAATAAGATTTGTACTATATATGATTAAATACACACACATATAAACATGCATACATATATAAACATATAAACATATATATATATATTTACATCTGGTGGGAGGTCATTAATAGCCAAAAAGGCTGGCCAGGGAGACTTTAGGACTCCTGTTCTTTCTTCTTACTTTAAAGAGTAATTTGATCTTATGTCAGTGACTCTCTGGGTAAGGTCTTTATGTGCAACCCTTATCAGATGTCCCAGGAACCGTGGGAAAGTAGGCAGGCAGGGATAAAAGACTGTGGAGCAAGAATTCAGAGGGGTATGTGTCTTGTCCCCATACCAGAGCATATTTTTTTTATCAGAATAATGATGTGCATTTAAAATCACATCATTTTAAGTGACCCTTTGACCCTTCTATAACCACCCCCTTTCAAATTATGTCAGGAGTTCCTACTCTGTGCTCTTTTAACCCTGCAACCCCTCCCCATTTCAGTACACAGCTACCCAGATTTCTTCCTGCTTTTAATGTTGTCTGCCAGACAAGGAGCTCAGCATGGACAGGGACTGAGGCAGTGCCCAGCAGAGGGTCTGGCATATAATAAACCATTAATATTTTTGTGCTGCCTGAACAAATGTACCAGTCCTTTCCCACCAAATAAACTACCCTAAAAGGAAGGAGGAATATTATAAAATGTCAGAAATTCTGAACTCCCCCAGAATTGGATACTCTCATCTTGGTCCCTGCAGCGGTGAGCCGCCAAACTCTGAGACTGCAAAGGGCCCGGGGCTTATCATCGTGGGCTGTGGGGAAGGGGAGATCTGGGGTGACATTGCAGTGAGGCTGTGCTGGGCCGTAGTGGTCATTGCTGCTTCTTCTGGTTACTCATACATGATCCTTTCAGTCATTCACTGCTACGTCCCTGGGGACACAGAACAGTGCCTGTTTCGTGCATAGTACATTTTTTGTTGAGAGAGTTCTGAAAAATCTGACTGGGGATGGTAATTTTGCTGAACCCACCTCCTTCTTCCTGTAACATCTTTCTCAGTTTGGGGAACCGAGGGCAGTGGGCATAGTTAGAGCCAGGAGTGGCGCGGTTACAGGCAAGTGCCCCTCAGGACCAAGTTCAGACCACTTGCTCGTGCATTCTTTCCTGCTGCCACTCCTAGGCACCCCTCCAGCCCTCAGGGAAGGGGAGAAGGAGGAAACAGGGCAAAGCCAGATGTGGGATAGCCAGCTTCCCCTGCTTTGGACGTGGATGTCCACGGTGGGGTTGCCACCAGGTTGCTGGACGTGTGGTGAGTCGCCTTTGTGATCTGTTGGTCTCTCTCACTTTGCTCCGGGATCCAAGGCGGCTTCAGTGATTTTTCTACAGAATAAATATGTCCAGTTAGGATGAGCGCCTCACTCCCAGACTCTTCTCAGAAATCCTCTCAGATTTCTCCTGGGAGGTCACCACAAGGTCTCAAAAAGGAAAAGTACAGGTTCACATTCAAGAGCTCGGCGGATCAATCCTAAAGGTTTTTTTCTGTTTTCCTTTTACAAATTGGAGTGAAGGAGTGAAAACAAGACCAGTGTGGATTTGGGGTGATTATTTCACCCATCTGGACTTCAGTTTTTCCCACCCCCCAAATGGAAATAAATTATAGTATTGAGATAAATAAAGCTCCCCTTTCTGTGCCTGCCATGGTGGTGGGAGCATCTGAGAAGTAACAGGTGGTCACGGGCATAGTGAGAACCAGCACGAGGCATCTAGCTTTCAGTTCCCTCCATCTGCCTCAGACTTGTTTCTAGAACCTGTTTCTGACAACTCTAGGCTTATTCCATGGCGCTGCTGAGGGGTGTTGCCAGGAGTCTGGGAGCCGTGTTACCTGGGGTTGAGCCTGGCCCCAGCACGTGTGCCTGCCCTGGCCCCTTGCCACCAGTTTAGATTACCAAGAGTGACATTATTCCTGGAGGTGGCATTTCACTGTAACACATGTGGGAGCTTGGGAGTGTGTGTGTGTGTGTGTGTGTGTGTGTGTGTGTATAGAAACCAGAGGGGAGGAAACATTCTTTCTTACTACTACGTTCCTGGGTTCTCTGGCTGGGGCCCTGTAAATTGAGCTGACAAAAGCCAGATTAACAAAAGAAAAAAACAAACAAACAGGTTTATTAGCACTTGCACTGTACTTACGCATGGGAACGGTCAGAGATGAGTAACTCAAAGGGTTGGTTAGAACTTGGGCTTAACGTAGCATCTTAGCAAAGGAACGGTATATTTTTAGAGAAGTGGTAAGACAAAGGAAGAGAACCTTGACTCTCTAGGGGTGGCAAATTGTGGGAAGACACATAGATGGGAAACTAATAGTAGATAAAGACTGAAGTCTGCTATGTGGATTCCTCTGGTTCCAAATCCAGGCTGATAAGGGTCTAATATTGTCTCCAGCGATTAACTCTTGTTCTTCCTAGTAGAGAGGGGAGGGGGTATAATCTTTTTAAATTTATGTCCTGCTTTTAGTCAAATAGGGAGAGGACAGAGATCTTGTTTTGTATCTGCTTCTTCTTAGTTGCCTTCAGCTCAAAATAATCTTTACACTAAAGCAGCATATTTTGGGGTGGCTATTCTGCCACCCTACAGACCCCAAAACACACCTGCTGAGTGAGGGGTATCAGTAATTCTTGAGTCGGCCCCTGGAGAGGTCACACGGTGAGTTCATGTGACATTTTCTTTTTCTTGGCAGGAGGGTGGGGTCGTGGCGCTCTTTAAGGTCTGCCGGCAGGACAGTTTCCGGTGCTTGTACCCCCAGGCGCTCCGCACGCTGGCCTCCATCTGCTGCGTGGAGGAGGGTGTCCACCAACTGGAGAAGGTAAGGGTGCAGCTGGCTGGCTGGGCGGGGCCTGAGGTCCCTGAGCGGGTGGGTGAATGGGGAGAGCGACTTCCTGGTGGACGTCTGGCAAGAGCAAGTCCCCTGAGTCCCTCCTGTTCCCAGGCATCATTCATGTGGGGCTGCTGGGATCTTGACTGTGGTCGATGAAGACAGGAAGGGGGCCGAGACTGAGGAGCTCAGCAGGAAAGGCAGGGTCCAGAGAGACACTCAGCACTTCCTGGGTGGAGTGGCCAACAGAGCCTGGTTGGCGGGGCAGGGTGGGAGGTGGGGGGGAACACAGCAGGAGGCAGGCAAGTCAGGTGGGGAGGGGTGTCGAGGTTAAGGGCGGTTGGTCCTTCTCTCGTGGCAGGACCCCAGCAGAAGGAAGAGGATCCAGCTCCTCCGGGGACAGGATAGGCATGAGCAGGGTGGGCATGGGTGCCTGGGCAAGCAGGTGGGCTCCACCCAAAGAGGGCTTGGGTAAGGGAAAGGGAAACTGGAGTCCAAGCACATGATGGGTCAACACCACTGGAGGTGGCCAGGATTGGAGGGCAGGTGATGACGTGACAGTCCCAGGTGCCTAGCTCCAGGCCAACCTAGGGCAACGTGACCGATCCCAGCTACCACCTCCCAATTACCCCAGCTTGTAGGGCTGAGGCTGCTTCAACACTTCTGCCTGAGTGGGTCTGCGCCTGCAGCTGGGTCCTCAGGGATGTTAGCAGGAGGGTTGGGACGCTAGTACTGACACTTGGGGATTTCTCAACCACATTTCAAGGAAAGATGCTGAATTTTTTTTATGGAAGAGAGATAGAAAGGCCTGGTGACAATTGTGGTGCCTGCAGGGTGAGGGGTAGGTACCTCGAGTCTGTTCTCGTGACTGGTCTAAATGGGGATGGGACAGCAAACTTCTCCCCTTCCTCTGCATCCATTTCCCGCAGTCTGGTCCTGGCTGCCCAGAAAACCTCCACCCTACCCTCAGTTTCTTTACTTTGGTCTGGACTCCTAGACAGATGGTCATTTTACATTCTACCCTGCTTCTTTCTAAATCTGCACAGGTTATGGGACAGAGTCCCAGGATCACAGGCTCTGAGGTGCTTTTAGCTGAGGATGGAGGGTGCATGGGAAATCTGCTCAGTTTACAGATGAGAAGGCTATGGCTCAGAATGGGGAAGTAATTTGTCTGAGGTCACACAGCAAAGTGGTGAAGGAGCTAGTGCCAGCCCTCTGGACAGGGTGCCCCCTTCCCATGGGGTCAGAAGCCTTTGTGTGTGCTTGCTTAGGTGGTAAAATGGAGGAGAGAGGCAGTGGCGAGACAGACAGACTGCATGAAGTAAATGCATCGAGCATTTCCAGCTTCATGTGCTGAATAATCCTCTCTTCTCCCATAAAATCTTCTTCCTTAGACAGCGGGAAATGGCCATACGCGTTTGTTTCTCATCTTCTTTCATGCTGGTTGGCAGGAAGAAGGGGAGGAAAAGGCAGAAGGGACTAGAATCACCAGTTCTCCAAAAGCAGTACATTTCTTGGCTTTAGAGAGTTTGCAGAGCAGCAGGGAAACCTCAATCCAGGGAAGAAAGACAGCAGGACTTTCTTTGCTCAGAGTGAAAACCTGTGCAGCTGGGAAGGCTGTGGAGGCAATTTCTCCCGCGGGGCTCCAACGCCAGAGGGCGCCAATGCGTCTTTCCCAGGCCAGATGGACCACCGGCCTGGGAGCCAGCCCCTACCCACCGAGCAAGAGGACGGGGGACACTCAGCGCCTGAGGGCTTACTAAGCGCCCCGTGCTGAGCTAGCCCCTTACACGCATTCCCTTCATTAACCCACCAGAACCTCGTGAGGTGAGCACGATTCATATCTTCACCTTGAAGACGAGGAATTGAGTCTCAGCCAGTGTAAGTGACTCACCTAAAATCACAGAGTAAGTTTTGGAGCCAGGATTTGGACCCCGTCTGCTTGTCTAATGCCCAGTCGACCTCACTGACTCACTGGTTTAATGGATACTCTCAGACTGCCAAAAAAAATCCCTGCCGCTAAACCCGGACCACCTTGCTGTTTCTGGCCAAAGTCCTAATTCTCCCACCCCCAACTCGCACAGGAGAAGGTCACCGTCTCTGGGCTTTCCCCTCCTCCAGGTCAGGTTACTTTCCACACACAGATACTTCTGAAATAACTCTGTGGCCGGCAGTGAGCAGGAGGGAGTCTTGTCAGAAAGGAGCCCCCGTGTGGTCGGAAACAGCTCCTACAGCTCTGCAGTCACAGAGCTTGCCAAGTGTCTTCACAGGCAGCCTGATTCCATTTGATATCTGCCTTGAGTGTGCAAGCATCCCCATAATACAGACGAAGAAACCGAGGCCCAGAGATGTGAAGTGACGTAACAGACAAAACCCCTGGTCCTCTTAGAGCTTACGTTTTAGCTCAGGGGGTGGCAAGTTACAGCCTGTGGGCCGAAGTCATCCTGCTGTCTTGTTTTTGGCACGTACAGCCCATGAGTTAAGAAATTTTTTTTCATTTTTAAATGGCTGTAAAAATATCAGAAGAACATTTTGTGTCACATGAAAATTATGTGAAATTCAAATTTTTGATCCATAAAGTTTTAATGGATCACTGCCAGGCTCCTTTGTTTAGGTGTTCTCTATGTCTGCTTTTTCTCTACAACAGCATAATTAGATAATTGCAAGAGACCATGAGGCCCACAAAGTCAAAAACATTTACTATCTGGTCCTCTACAGAAAATGTTTATCGACCCCTATTCTATCAGGTAATAAGGACATCATGACAGTGACTAAAAGGATAATAACATTTATCGAATACTTGCTTTGGACAAGCACTTTGTTAAACCCCATCTTTCATGGTGTCACTTAATCGTTAATCCATTGGTGCTGTTATCATCCATGTGGTTTGTAGAAGGAAGGGAGACTCAGAGAAGTGAAGCAACTTGCTCAAGCGCACACAGCTAATAGATGGCCTGGCGATCATTTAATCCCAGCTCTGCTGAGCCAGAGTCAGCCTGGGCTGTGAACCATTATGCCAACCCAGGACTCAACTCCAATACGTGAGGCTAAGGTCCATGCTCTTTTCCTCCACGTCATGTTGCTTCCAAAGCTGTGAGATGTTCTAGAGACACCCAGGAGGGCCTGGATCACCTGTCCCTCCCCCAGGTCCTGCCCACATGGGCTCTGTGATCCGGCTGCTGAGCGCTGGCCTCAGATGCTCTGGTGAGGTCAGCCGTTGTCCACGTTTAGGACAGAAGGTGAAGAAATCCGGGGACAGGCTGATTCGCAGAAGCCTCAGCACGACAGGCAAGGCAGAGGCGAGGTGGGAAGCAGGTGCCCTGGGGCTTTCGCCTGCTGCCCACTCACCCGGCACAGTTCATGCCCTCTTTAGATAATGTCAAAGTCCCAGCCTCCCCCTGACTTACTGGCCTAGCCTCCTCCCTGAGACTCCCGTAATTAATTGGCAGCAAGAAATGTGCTGGATTTGGTTAAAATCCACTTCTGTCATGCGGCTACCCACCACCGCTTCCCTCCAACCTTAAAGTGGTTCATTGAATCACCCACAGACCCCTGCGGAGTATGAGTCTAGTCAGGTCACCAGACAGCCCATCCATCCTTGGCCCTGCTGCGTGATGCCCGAGCTCTGTTGGGCTTGGAGCATTCGAGTGGCCATAGATTCACCCAGTCACCTGTTTCTTCTTTCTGTGTCATCCAGTCGTTCACTTACTTTCAACTCACTCGTTTCCTTGCCTGCTCACTCAGTCCCTCACCATCTCATCACGCTACTAATTCATTCCGTCATCACACATTTGTTGTGAAGCAGCCCAGCTCCGGGAAAACTGTGGCCTTTGAGAGTCAGGCTCTTCTGTATGGGAATCCAGGCTTTCCCACCTACGAACTTGGACATGTTTCCCTGGGCAAGTTACTTAACTTCTCAGAGGTGTGGTTTCTTCATCAATCAAATGTGCATGATGAAATCTACCTCCCAGGGCTGTCAGAGATAAATAGATTGCAGTAACCTGGTGCCTGGCGCCCACGAGGCGCTGAATAAATGGTAGCTATTCTGATTTTGGCGGGTGTGATGCCAGTTGCCAGGGTTTTGAATATGAGTGACCTGAAGAAGATGATGGTCTGGTGGAGAAGAGAGCTCTGGCATGCCAGCAGGAGGGGATAGCGTGGCCAAAGATGCTGCCCAGGGCACAGTGTGGAGAAGTCAGTGGGGCTGGAGCACGAGTCCCTACAACCTTTCCATTTTACAGGTGAGGAAACTGAGACTCAGAGATTGTGTTCCCTCAGCTCATGAATGTGTAGTTTGGATTCAAACCCACGTCTGGCTGGTTTCTAAAGCCCATGATCTTTATACTCTGTGACCCTGGGAAGAGCTGGCCCTTCTGAGGTGGGGACTGCAGGGCAATGGCTCCCAGGGAACCAGGCTCTGGGTACTGGTCTGGGAAGAGGGCAGACGTGGATATTCCCCGAGCAGGTTTGGAGCAGCGAGATGTCAAGACATAGCAAAGGCCTCTGCAGAGGTGCCTGAAGGGTCTTTCAAGTCTCCACGCTTTCTTTTCAGAGGTCTGGTTCATCCTGCCCACAGCCTCTCACCATCGTGCTCCTGCCAGGGCAGCGAGTTTCAGGAAGTCTATCCTGTGTCCTCAGCAGAGAGTCACCCTTCATTCCCCAGCCCCTGCTCTGGGCTCTGGGAGGAGAGACAGGCAGCTGTGTTCCCTGTCTCCCACATGGGCTGGCCAAGTGGTAGCCCCATGGTTATCAGAAGCTGCAGGCTGGTGGTACCACCTGTGCCTGGGGTGCTGGTGAAGGCAGCAGCAAGGAAGCAGTGGAGCTGGGCCCCGAGGACCAAGGTGGAGCTCCCAGGCAGGCCAGGGGAAAGTGGCCTCGGCAGAGGGACTCCACAGCTGGCTGGTAGGCCAGTGGGGCTCTAAGTCTTTTAGGAACTCCGTGCTCAGTGAGTTGGGGGAGCCCAGAAGAGGAGGCAGTGTTCTCTGAGACCC